TTCTTTCCTTTAGGAAATGTAAGTTTAACTTTGTTTTTCCAAATCAGGGACTCACTCTGTCACCTAGGATGCAGGGCAGTGTCATCATCACAGCTCACCCCAGCCCCAACCTCCATGGCTCAGGCAATCCTCCCACCTTAGCCTCCAGAGTAGATGGGACTACAGGCATCCACCAACATACCCAGCTAACTTCTTAATCTACTGTAAAGATTATGTCTTGCTTGGTTGTCCAGGCTGGTCTCAAACTCCTAGGCTCAAGCATCCTCCCACCTTGGCCTCCCAAAGTGGTGGTATTACAGGTGTGAGCCAATGTACCTGGCCTTAGTTTTCATAAGATTAATTTTGATGATAGAGCCCAACATATACTGTGCTTATGAAGGAAAAGACAGTGTAGAGCCCAGAGGAGATATCTCTATTTGGCAAAAGGGAGAGATTGGAGAGCGTTCCAGGTTTTGGACAATGTACTTCTCCGCAAGAATACCATGAGAGTGATTTCCTTAGGAGGTCTATATTATGGGACTTACTTTTCCATAACTAAACTTTCAAGTTCTTTCATCTTCTTCCCAAACATGAGCCCTAAAGAAGGATGTGAGCCATGAAGGCTAAGGAAGCTTCCATTTTCATCCATCCCTAGGGAGTGAATGATCTCATAGACAGGGAGAGGGTTAGGTAAACTGTTACTATGGTATAATGGCATACAGTAAATGCTCCAAACACAAACTAGAGTTTCACTGAAAATTAGTGGTCAGGTTTGTATCTGGCTCAATATATTAAATAAACTGGTGATCTGAGAGTCTGGTGACAGTTCCTTTGGACAGTAGTTTATAAATAAAGAGTTGAAAAACATATGGAGAATCTTTTATTAGATATGTACAAAACAAAAAAGCCGAGCTAATTTTGTAAAACATCTGTTAAGATTAAAAGCAACTTCACCAACACCTTACGATATCTGAAAATAAATGCATAAGCATATTGGATTCTCTTTTCACTTTCTTTTGTTTTTCTGTTGTTTTAGGAAGAACCTTTTGCAAAGATGTCCTTAGGTGAATGGAAAAATACAACATATTTAGTCCTATAGATTTGACAGGTAGAAATGAAATCAAAATTCATCTCATACAGAGAATTTCCAGCTTTATAATTATTTGGGCTGCTAAAGGGGGAACTTTCTGTATTGACAGTACTAATGATCTCACTGTGGATTGGTACAGTGTTACCATCCCACATCTGATGCTGTTTTCGGTGTCCTGTTCCTTCTGGTATCTAGCTCCTACTCTTACTCAGCTGTATCACATAAAAACTATAAACTGGGATCACTTTTAAAATGATCTTTTTGGATGCCTGAACAGCAGGGAAGATTGTTATTATTCATTTTCAGTAAGAAACTTAGTCATTTCTGGGTTCTAATTAGAGAAAGCCTAGGGACTTCTTTATTAAGATGAAACACAAATTGGATCAAGCCTTGCTAAACCACTTAATATTTTTATGGTGATATTAAGAAGCTTGAACATTTTAAATACTAATTGGGAATATGCCTAGGCCATTTTTAATCTATGCATAAACTCTACCCTTCGTTTCATTAAAATTGCATCTTGTGGTGCTAACTTTTGCCACCTTGAAGATTTGCCACACAGAGTAGAATCAGGATTCCTGGAAGGATTCAGTTCAGTGTCAGCAGAAACTTATGCCACTACGTCCTCCTGTTAACTAACTTTGCAGGTGTCTAAAAAATTTCCTAGAAGAAATGCTTTTTGTTTTTTATAATGTTTTAAAATACAGACTGGCAACTTGAATAATTTATCAAGAATTTTAATTATAATTTCTATATAAATCGCTTAAACATACATATCTGTAGTTAATTACCTACTTACAAAGACATATGCTTTAAGATGTGACTAAAAGCTTACAAACCCAACTAGAGACAAATGATGACAGTTAATATTTTGGGGTATAATTTTGAGTGTGTGGAAATGTGTAGATACATGCATATAATTATATCTGTGTGTGCTTTAAAATTCCGGCTGATACATCAGGAAAATGTATTCTTATCCTAAAATACTTCCTTTGAGTTAAGTATGAATGTTCTAAAATTCAAAAAATTATCCTTAATATGACTGTTATTTTAAAATTTGCCTTACATAACTATGTAGAAAGGACAAAATTTCGACTATTTCATTTATGCTACAAGTCAGGGTTTTATTTTACCTTTTATTGCCTTCTGTCTCATAGTATGTTAAGGATGTAAATGACACAAGATTATCTAGGTGGCTTTAAAATAAGAATTAGCAAATTCAAATAGAAGTTAGGAGATATAGGATATAGGAAGCAAATTGAGAAGTATTAATGGTTTAGCTTTTATCAAAGATACTAAAAGGGTGAATCATCTATACAATTGGCTGATGTAAGTTATTATATTCTTCCAATTTTTTTGTATACCTAGTTTCTTCATATGGTTTCTTGTCATCTGGTGCTTTTCCAGAAATGTCCTGTCATAGGTACAGTCTGATAACATTGCCCTGCCCCCTTTGCATTCTCTTTCTGAAGACATAGGAAGAACCAAATTGCTTACTACTGTCTACTCACACTCTGACCATGATACTTCATCTCTGGTCACCGAAATGTATGTGGGATTTTTTCCCACTGAAAATCGGTCCTCCACAAGACAGCAGCTGAGTGCCCTATAAGTCAACTCCGTGCTGACACTATCTCCCTGGAGATGGTTGAGGCCTCGGTCCCACAAAGTACTTCCACCGCAGATGCTACTCACAGGCAGTAGGTTGTCACCCCAACGTTTGACCCACTGGCTGCAAACCAGGGCTCCCATGATTCCCTCCTTGGGGTTTGTTAGTTTTCTAGGATGACCCACAGAACTCAGGGAGACACAAGTATGCAGATGGACGAAGAGATGGCTAGAGAAAGGCATGTGGGAAGAGGAGTGAAGCCTCTGCCCTCTCCTGGTTTGCCTTCCTCCGGGAACCTCCACGTTTTCAGCAATGTAGATGCTCTCTGAGCCCTGTCTTTTGGGTGTTATGCAGGCTTTATTAGGTAGGCATGATCGGTTACAGCAATGACCGCTAATGATCAACTCAGTCTTCAGTCCTCTCATCTCTGCAGAGTTTGGAAAGTGAGACTGAAATTTCCAACATACTGGTTGTCCAGAAGATCATCAAGACCTTCCCGTTAGAAAATCTCATAGGAGCACATCTCATTAGAGCAAAAGATGCTCCTATCACCCAGGAAATGTCAAGAGGTTTGGAAGCTCTGTGTCAAATACTTCTGTCAATCAGGAAATTCCAGTCATTCACCAAATACCAACGTTTTGGTCAGTAATGGACCACACATAGGATGGTGATCCCATTATGATACCATATTTTTATTTTACCCTTTCTGTGCTTTGATACACAAATACTATTGTGTTACAATTGCTTACAGTATTCTCAGTATGGTAACACATTAATCAGATTTGTATCCTAGGAACGACAGGCTGTTCCATATAATCTAAGAGAGTGTAGTAAGCTACACCATTTAGGTTTGTGTAAATACAAGCCATGATGTTAGCAGCATGACAAAACTGCCTAACACTTTTCTTAGAACGTATCCCCATAGTTAAGTAACATATGACTGTAAGCTCTATGTCAGAAACTGGAGTTGGCCATTGCTTTGCTAAACTCTGGTGTGTCCATGTGACTCTCTGAGCTACTGCTGCCATATTTCTTAGCTTTGGCCCCCTTCCCTACCTCGGGGAGGCGGGGCTCTCTCTCTCTTTATCTCCTCTCTCTTCTTTCTCTCTCTCATTTCCTTTCTAAATAAACTAAATTTTCCAGTCTTAAAAAAAAAAAGAAAGAAACTGGAGTCAAAGATCAAATATTAGAACAAGAGATTCTCCTACTGACCCTATCTACAAAGGTTTCAGAAGCACTATGTCAGGACCTGGGGTCAGAGACAATTCTTATTATAGTATCATACTCTCTAAGTATTTTTATTATTTAAACACTTGATGAACAATTTCTCCATCACAGTGGTAATCTGCTTGCCTTGACATTTTTTCCAATATTTATTATTTTCACAACTTGTAAGTCTTTTACAAAATTTTTCAGAATAATACACATTCTTCCTCTTAGAAAGAATGTCATAACCATAGACATCACTTATTAAAACCTATGTTCTCATTGTGTTCACAAATGAAAGACCATACATTCAGTATTTCTATCAAATTCAACAAATAATCAAAGCTTTTGAGAAAATAACTATGAAGTCATGCTCAACTTAGAAGCATTGGACATAAAAAGTCTAGGAAAATATTATGTCAGAAAGCAGGAGATAGTCAATGAAGCATCAAATATGGAATAAGACAAGTTTTTGAGTACTTCCCTGATCTAGTTATCAACAATCATTTTTATCATTAATAAGTATAAAAGACTAAAATCTTTGAAGAGGAGAACCTATGGTTCATTTATCCTTTCTTTCCTAAAAGAAAATTTTGAGACGAGGATTTTTTGCTAGAAATTTATTAAAGGAAAACCCTCAGGAAAAAACCTTTACAAAGTAAGAAAAGCAAGAGAGATAAAAGGGAGAAGCTTCAGATGGTCTCAGGCAAAGCTGAACTATAGGGGTAGTCCCAAGTGCAAAACTATAATGTTAGAAACTTCTGGGGAAGACTCACTCCAGTGACCGAAGGGCAGTCCTCCAGTGTGATGAGGCCTGATCGATTAAGGAGAATCAGACAGACCACAGGACTTTGACAAGGGTCCAGCATGACTGCTACAGTGACTTAACAAATTAGTTCCTTAATACATATCTGCTTAATTAAATTGAAGTAAATTATATTTGCTATATGACTTTTTTGAGTGAGTCCATGATGGTTCTTTTGGTATCTTATGGAAGTTAGCACATGGTTATGCACACAATAGGTATGAAATTTTATAAATTACTTAATTTACTTCATTCACAGATATGTAACATTTCTTATTTTTCCTATCTACATGCATGTTTGAATCCAACAGGCCAGAACCTGTTTTGTGGACAAAGGATGGTGGAGAATTACCAGATCCTGACCGAATGGTAGTGAGTGGTAGAGAACTAAACATTCTTTTCCTGAACAAAACGGATAACGGCACATACCGATGTGAAGCGACTAACACCATTGGCCAAAGCAGCGCAGAGTATGTTCTCATTGTACATGGTGAGTACCTTTCTGAAAACATTATATGTGAAGGGATGGATAACCTGAAAAACTCTTTAAATTTATCAACATCTTTAGGACAATCAACAAAATTAAACAATTCTTTTTCTCTCAGAAGGACTTGTATCTCCAAGATTCAAAATACAATGGTTCCTGTCAGACTAATAAAGTAAAATTACAAGTTACACTAAAAATAAAGAATATGTTTGTGAAAAGCTTTTCCTTTCTATAAATATATTTCTTAAATGTTGGTGGTGACTGATAAATTATATTAATGATTGTCTTTACAGTTTACAAATAAATGCTTTTATTTATAACCCAGAATCATGAAAATATTTCCCTTAAGCTAGTTTTTATTGCGTTGTCGTATATATTTTATAGCTGTTGTAATTTGTTTTATAAAGAATGATAGTTTTTCATTGAAATGCAGCCAAAATAGAGGGGTACAATATTAATAACTGCATTAATTTCTTATGGAGCGATACTTTTTTACATTTCTACAGATAGGTTTTTCTTGACTGCACTTATCTCACAATTTCAGTAACTATAACAAAAATGCAGAAACAAGTACCAATACTTAAGAATGAATGGAACCTATTTTTTTCCCGACCTCCAAAAGGCGCAATAGGTTGTTTACAAAGTAGCTTTAACATACTGTTAGATGGAGATGATCTCTTATGAGATTGACAAATACTGTAACAAATAAAATTCTTCACTGCCGTTCTTCTCAGAGTTTATTTTATATGTCAAGGTGCATTGTGAATCTCCAAGAGAAAAATAGCATTAGAGAATACAAGATTATCATCATACTTTACCAAAAAAACCTTTTTTAAAAACTAGTGTTATATTCTACATACTATTACAGTATACTAAATGAGTGTTGTATATAACATGATGTTGTAATAAATCAAGTGGATCTTGGGAATCATGGAAGAGTAGGTTTGTTTGATATCTTTCATGTGAGTCTAATTATAGAATACTTTAAGAAACAAGGGTAGTTCTATACGTTTTCAAAAAAAGATTTTAAGGACCAAGTCTATTTCTTTGTTGACAGATTTCGTTTTAGTGGGGGGAAAAAATAACCCAATGAGTGTTATTTTTCCCAGATATTATTTTGTTATGATGTAGGCCAAAATTGGAGAAAAAAATAATATGTCAACGCACAGTTTTCCTTTTTTCAAATTGCTTCGTGTATAAAATCTCTAACCACTTTGCTATAAGACAAATAAAAGCTCTCAGTGACTAGACTGTCCATAGAAAACATCTTGAAAACAGTAGAGCTAAGAGTTTAATGTCTAGCACCTCATGCATTGCACAAAATTCAACTTTGTGACAGTTTAGCCTAATCAAATTAGAGTGATACATTAGATTTCAATGTGGCAAACCCCTGCAGACAAACCCTCCCAACTTTACTGCCAGAGATAATGTAACAACCACTGGGTATATTAAGAAGATAAAGTTAGATCCTTAGAGCAGAGTCTAAGAGTAGATTTCAGTTCATACTGCCTAGATGTTTAGGTCATGTAGTCATGTAAGGAAAGTATCGTCTGTCTGATCCACCCTAAATTCTCTAAGTGCTTCTCTGGTCTAACAGTTTCTGAGAACCTGGGGGTATGTTGTGTAGCATGTCACATTGTGTCGAAAGCAATATGACACAAAAATATACAGAATTAGAAAAGAAGTGGCAGAAACAGCGTGGTTTCCTAAGTAGCCAACCTACCTTTAGCTAGTTGGCAGTTGACATATTTCTAATAAATACTTCTCTAAGCACTTTGTAAGAAGTCATTTTTGCCTTTGCTTTTTGAACTCCAATCCATCAAAAGCACCCCATAGATTAGATTAATGCTATTCATGCTGCTAGATAAATGCTGTGAAGTTCAACAGTATATTTACCTAGGATTATTGACATAAGTAATGAGAGGCTCAATGAAACAGTGAAACCACATTACATTGTGTTTAAAAAGGGCTCCAATTGGGTGCATTACAAAATAAAACTTTTTTTTTTCCCCTTTGCACACTGGGTATGATGTTTCATTAGTCACTGGATGTATAAATATAAAAAGCTACCCTCTTCTGTTAATGGTTCGGCTGTTTCAAAACCCTCGTAAATGATGAAATTTGAGTGGCATTTCGATCTATAATGAATGCTGTGTGCGTTTCGGGATGGAGTGATAAGTGATCATTTGTGAGAACTCTACCCTTTTATCTTTTACACCAAGGTTGATTTTACATTAGCTGTGATAATTTAATATAACTCTAGCACGGAAGGGCTTTTCATGAGCTGAGACCCGCATCTTTCACACCTACCCCAGTTACCTAGATTCTATTGATTGTTAGCTCGATGGAGGTCTGAGCACTTTCCTGTGGAATCACCTACTATCTAGATGCTGTCCTAATGGAGAGATTTTATTGGTGTCGATGGAAGTGTGTTATTTAAATATCATCGCATCTAATTGTTAAAAGTGCTGACATTCTGTGCTATGGACACTGCAGGTGTCCCCCACCTCCCTCTTACTTACATTTTTGAACATTTCAGCATTAGGATTACAGATGGTAGTTTAGAACCGCCAGCCTAAAATTGAGCCTCCATGAAAGGCCTAACAAAAGTCAGTGCACTAATACCTATAAGATAAAACATTATATTTATGAAGCCTTTTCACCGTAGAGGTTCCGTTAGGAGACTAACAAGCTACGTGATGGAAAAAAACAATCTGTTGAATTAGTAACCATAGTTATGTTAGTTATTTCCTGTGAGCACAGTCGTTTCTTACTTATTGCTTCTTTATAAAAATGTTGCAGTGTCTCACTTGTTATCATTGTTATCATGCCATTTATTTATCTAGAAAGATTGATTTTCTAAATAGATCTGTGGATCTAATGGCTTTGAAGTATTTTGATCCATGGCTGTCCTTACCATTTGGAGAATTCAGAACAGGAGAAACATGTATTCGTTCAGTAAATGGATATCTAATACTTATCTACTGGGTGCAAGGGCACTATTTGAGCAAAGGTGAATAGGACACAAAAAGATAATGCTTTAATATGGAAGATAAGTATTCAAATAATTAGGATACAAAAATAGAAAAGGAGCTCTAGGGAGATGGTCACACGGTGTTGGAGATGTTCACAGTCTGTGAAAGTATAGTTCCAAGGGTTTGGAATTTTTAAAAATAGTAACTCAGCACTCCTGCATTATTTATCAATAAGTGACATAAATCATAGATGGAATTACCCAGCAGGGTACCAGTTACAGCAAATTAGACTGTTACTATTTAATAATATTACTAATAACCTGATGACACCACAACAATCCAGTCCCAGTGGTCTGGCAAGAGTCTTACTCATGAGTTGCATGCAAGATTTTGCCCATGATCTTTCCTGAATGGTACCCAGAGCATAATTTGGGCTAAGTCTGTTGAAGAAAAAGAAAATTCTAAGCTGGACACAGTGGCTTACGCCTTGAGAGGCGAGAAAGGAGGATTGTTTGAACCCAGTTTAAGGCTAGCCTGGGCATCATAGCAAGACCCCATCTCTCCAAAAAGTAAATAATAATAATAATAATAATAATAATAATAATGATGATGATGATGATGTGTCTGTAGTCCCAGTTACTTGGTAGGCTAAGAAGGAAGGACCATTTGAGCTCAGGAGTTTGAGGCTACAGTAAGCCATGCTTGTGCTATTACACTCCAGCTGGGGAAACAGAGAAAGACCATGTTAAAAAAACAAAACAAAACAAAAAAACCCAATAACTAAATTCTTGCTAATTAAGAGATAAAATTATCTTTAAAAAATCAGCAATATAGAAACTAATAATATACAAATCAGGAAAAAAAGTTATAATCACTTTTGTTTCTCTTATGCAACATCTTCTCTCCAAGCTTAAACTATCCAGAAATACATCCATCCACTGTCAAGAGCATGGCAGATACCTAGTTATCATACAAGAAATGGCTTCAGGAAAGAATCAATGACCTTAGGCTACTCTCATTTTGTGGTTGGAAAGCAATTTATTTTTATTTGTCTTCAACTGATTAAAAATATACTTTTTTGAGTGTCAGAAAAGTTTAGCACCTGAAAATTTGGAGAAAGAAATCTATGAGCCGGGCTCGGTGGCTCAGCCTGTAATCCCAGCACTTTGGGAGGCTGAAGTGAGTGGATTGCCTGAGCCTGCGGGTTTGAGACTCGCCTGGGCAACTTGGCGAGACCTCATCTCTACAATAAATCAAAAATTAGCCGGGCGTGGTAGCGCACGTCTGTAGTTCCAGCTACTTGGAAGTCTGAGGTGGAAGGATCGCCGGAGCCCAGCAGGTCAAGGCTGCGGTGGCCGGGAGTGGCCACTGCACTCCAGTCTGGGTGACAGTGAGACTCTAACTCAAAAAAGAAAAGAAAAAGAAATCTATGGATAATGAGTAACACAAATTACCACATCTCCCCCCAAATCCTAAATTTCTTCCTTCTTAACTTTGGCAGGGTCTTTTTTACCTCCCTTTAAACTCATACTAGAGAAAATATTAGCCACTCTCCAAAATACAAATGGAAAATGGACGGAGTTCAAGGTAGAACTCTAGTACTATGTCCGTTGTGGAAGCCCTTCCCAGGTGTTGGAAAGAAACACAGTAATCCAAGTAGGGGGAGAAAAAAAAAGAGTAACTCATTTCTCCTTCTACCGGGAGTTATACAATCTCAACAGCAGGTTCAGATTATAGACCAGAGGAAGAGGGAGCCAGATTCGAGTGTCAATGGAAATTCCAGGTTTTCTTGCCATCCTAACAGAGTTGAGATGCAGTATGCAAGAAAGTTTTTTACAATAGTTCCCTTCCCTTTTCAAATTGACTCTTCCTGTTGCTGTACTAACACTTATGTGAGGGTTAACATTCTTCTACCGCTGCTCTTACTCACTGACTTCATTATTTTTCTCCTTATATGAAAAAGCTTTTATAACAATTCATCACTTCATTATTCTTATTTTGAATGAAATTTCCCACTGTGCACCTTTT